CCCATTGTTCGGGGTCCGTAGGCGTTGGAGCCAAGCAAGTCAGAGAGCCATTCCCCTAGCCCCAGCACACACATCTGAGAGCCTCTGGCGTTGAAAGTAGTACGAACGACGTTGCAAAGGAATAGCTTGCCCTGCTCGTGCTGTTGCTGAAAGCTTTTTATTCAAATACCTAATCCAGAAGGAAAACCTTTTTTGCCTTTTCTGCACCATTGTTATGTGCCTGCCTGTAAAAGTCCTGCAACCTATTGGTAGATCCATACCTACCATTTGAAATGACTGACTGAACTCATCCTCCATTTCCATCCTATATCCTGGCTCAGTCTCTGAGACTTTCTCTAAGAGGATATCTCAGATGTAGGCAGAGGATGGCAGTTTGAGACCTTTGTCCTTATTCCTTTCCTGGTTTGACCTGTAGCATGTATAACAAAAAGGCTGTTTTCTGCTGCTGCTGTTGACGTCCCTATCCTTCTCCTGTCCTGCCAGTGAATATCTAGATCACACTCACATGCATCCCATGTCAAGCAAGATGATGTACAGGTAGAGTCGCCAAAAGGGATGGAGCAGAATGCTCTGTCCCGTTAACAGTGGCTCAACATGTGGAAATGGGCCGCTGAAGCTTTTTAAGGCATGGAGGTAAATAACATCCCATTAAGCCTCTATTTAAAGAACAGAACAGTGTTTCTCCAGGCAGTTGGGGACCCTGTTGGCATGGTTGTAGGCAGCTCTGGACTTGAGCTGTCGCACTTCAGGGCTTCATGGGAAAGAGCTTGTGAGCAGCCTTTGTGGCGGAGGCCCCATTCTACATGATCACAGCAAGATTCTTCTCAAAACGTGAATGGCTGGAAGCTCCATTTGTGCTAACATACAACTGGTCTTCTTTGAAGTGTCCCTGTTAGACTCTTTAAAGCACCCTGGGCTCTAATCATGCAAAGTTAACTGGTCCCCCTTTCTTCAGTGCCCGTTCAAAGTTCTATTTTTGTTAGCTTGTCCTTGACACTGGTTCCTCAGTATGAAGTAACATTTCTTAAAAACGTTGACCTAGTATTCTTGAGCGCAGAGAAATTAAGCGGGAGTAAGCAGAACTGTGCATTTCTCAGACATAGCTGTGTCTGCAGTACATTGGCTTTATTTTCTAGACCTTGCCCGGTGCTGCAAGCTACATCTGAGACAGGTGCTGTGGCTTGTATCACACTGCTGCTGTGTCATCCTTTCATATGTGATCAGTTAACCTGGAATAGTGATTATCAGCTGTTTCCTTATTCAGTCACTAATGCTGATTAGAAGCTCTACTGTGGGAAGGGAAAGGAAAAATATGCCCTTTTACTATTCTCTGATCACATTGATTATGAGTATGAAAGGGTTTTTAAAGCATGTTAAGGAGTAACTAATCTTGGTCTTGAGTGTGCACCCCTTAAGGTGTGAGGTACTTGTTCATGGTTTGACCGAGCTATATCCCTTCCCTTATTGTATGATGAGTACAAATGAGCTCATTGCTCATACACAACATGGCTCTTTCCCTAACAGACTTCTTCCTGTCTCCAGTTCACACACAGAGGACATTCCTCTTATTATTATTCCTCTTTTTCAACCTTCAGGGTTGAAATTCAGGAGCTGGCATCCATTTGCCTTTGAAGAAAGAACAGGAGGCTTCAGTCTGCAGTGTTGGGAGAGAGCGTTCAGTCATAAGCTAGCAGAGCTGTACCCTTCTAAACCCACTGAAGTCAAATAGACTTAGAAGGATGTAACTGTTTAGGACTGTGCTGTTAGAATAGCATGGGCTAGGTGGGAGGTAAATAACATCCCATTAAGCCTCTATGGGATGTTGCTGGTTCAGGGAAAATTAAACCAGTTTTTGTTTGCATTGTGAGGGAAAGGCCCCAGCATTTAGCAGCCCTGCTACCGAGAATGTGAGAATGTCCAAGGCCTAGAGAGGAACTTTTCCATGGGAGTTTTCATTCTGCCTCAGTCTTTGTATGGCTCTGCTTTACATTGGCTATCTGCCTTTCCTCTTTTTAAACACACACCACTTCAGAAGTTGGACCTGCTCTGCTTGTTATTCGCAGTTGTAATCTATTTTAAAGGCAGTCCTTCTGGGTCTGTTCTCAGTTCTGGGAGGGGAGGGCCTTGAGCATCACAGCTGTGGGATCAAAGACTCCAGTGTCTCAGCCTGAAGCACTGAATTGTAGCATCTGTTCCTAGACAATACGCTGTTGACTTCCTTTGTGCCTCTTTTTCTGCTTACATTGCCTCTCATATCTTCCCTAGGGGCATGTCCAAGCTGGGTTATCTATATGGATTTTGTGCTGGAAGGTGCTTTAGTGCTAAGGACTTGAAGCTTTGTCTTGTCTATTGAGTTTCCTTTCTTAATGTAACTACCTCTCTTGCATGACCAGAACCACACTGTGGCCACAAAAGTGCTGCCTGGATCCTTCACTTCTCTGCTGTAAAGACTTGAGTTTTAAACTGTAGACTTATCGATATAAAGCTGCCTAGACCAAAGCAGGCACGTTGAAGGATGTGTGAGGGAAAAGCCATGCCAGTGAGCACAAGGCAGGACTACTGGGTTCTATCCCCAGCCCATTCTTGGATATGATACGAGAGCTCTTTGGTTCTGTTTTTGCTTCTTTAATGTTCACTTGCTGAATAGATTTTGGCTATTCCTTCCTTTCCCAGCTGTAGAAGAGGGAAAACCAGCTTTGGCCTCGATTTAAAAGCATTTTATTTTGCTTGGATGCAGAGCATTACGACATTCACATGCCCAGCTGTTCAAGCTATAGAATTGAAATTGGATTGTTACAGTAAAGCAAGGGTGTCACCCTCTGCTGTACAGCATGGAAGTCTTGGCCAGACTGTTTTCAGGACTGCACCAGGAAGCTTTGCAGTATGATACTGGGCACAGAATCCAGCACTTGAAAATTTCAGCTTTCTTTTTCTCAAATCAAGTTTCTAAATGTTGTAACCCTGGTTTTTGTGTATAAATCTGCAAAACCAGAGTGGGAAGAAAGTTTTTAGGTGCTCTGGCTCTTCTTTACCCATGCCAAAAAACACCTATAAATTTCCCTACTTTGTATAATTTATATAGCTACCAGAATTCAGGTGTAGAAATTTGATTTTGGTTCCAGGTGTACCTAGCCTTATTCCAGGATACTGTGAACTTAGCGTGAGATACAGCATGGGAACACTATAGGCAGACTGTGCCCAAATTGGGAGGGGGGAGGGAATAAGCCTAGTTTTTAAATATTGATTGATGCCTCAGGATTAACTTTATTCTCTTCCTGATTTAAATCTGTTTTGCTGTATGAGACTTGACTCTGCATCCATGTGTACAGTTTATGCCACTTTGAAGTTTAAAGTCTACAGCATAAGGCTGCATCTATGATCATCTTACCATGGAACAAATGCTTCAAGACTGTCTTGCATCCCTCGTTGGGCATTGGACCTACCATGCCACTGAAAAGTAGCAGCATTTTAGATACAAGAACAAGCATCACCCCTGGTTTCAGGAAGACTGAATTAAGTTGAACATAAGGACAGATTGTAAAAATAAGGAGGAATTGGGAGTGTCTATCACAAAAGATTTCAGTGTGCACCTTTGTCTGTAATGCAATTAACTGGATTACCTAATTTGTGACTGTCTGAGGCAATTGTATGCCAGAGGTCTACCTGGTGTACATATGGGCTGGAGTTCCAGTTTGTGTAAAAGCGGTCTTGCACTGTTGGGAGCCAATGAGGATAAATCATGAACTACTGTGATTCTACTTTTCCTGCTGGATTGCACAGTTTCATTGCCATAATGCTGGTTTATTCTAGCTTTGTGAATCTTCTACTAATAGCATTACATCTGTGAACTATGAGCAGTAAAACTAGCTGGACACCCTTTCTTTGTGTGTCCGGTTCTGAGGTTGATTTAATCAGACAGGCTTGCTCTGAGTTTGTACATCTTCGCTCAACCTGGGAAAGCTGTTACTGCTCTGAGTTTGTACATCTTCGCTCAACCTGGGAAAGCTGTTACTAGTAAAAAAAAAATCTCTGTACAGGAGAATTTAGAAAACTCTGCAGCAAAAGCAAGGTAATTGATTCAGCTAAAACATGTAGCACAGATAGCAGTTTCCTAGAACGGAGTGCTGATACAGCCCTTTACACCTGCTTTAGCTAATGCATCTTCTGTTCCCAGCTTTGTTCTTTTGTGTGATGTTGAACTTGCTGGACTTCTTAATTTTTCAGACCAGCTTTGTAGCCACTTCAGCCACTCTTTTCCATAAACCACACCATGAGATTCTAGAGAATATGTGCAGCATCCTGTACAGTTTTATATGTAGGATGAAGGAAATTCATATTTTAACCAAATTCTTTGGTTTTGAATCAATTTGATTATTGATGCCCAGTGTAGAAGTGAGATAGGCTGGTCTTTATGCACCTGCCAGGCCTCAGTAATTTATTAACCCTTCCTGCTGTGCTTCCTGTATTTGCATGGCATACAGTAGGTATTCTGGCTGCTCTCAATAATAACATGTGAATTATAACATTTTTCTTGGGTCTTTTTGTTGTGTGCAACCATTGTTCATAATGTGAACATACTGACTTTACAAATGGTGTGGTAGCAAAGTCGATACATCCTGGATCAGTGTGGAATCTGGAGCTTCAGGCTTGGGTGTCACCAATATGCTGATGACACCCAACTATATCTGCTGATGGTCAGCCAGCCAGACTCCGCCCCCAAAAATCTGGCTGAGGGTTTAGAAGCCGTGGTGGGATGGTTGAAGCAAAGCCAGTTGAAGCTGAATCTAACTAAGACAGAGGTTCTGTGGCTGGGGGGGGGCGCAGTGTGACTCGGGATTGGGGAGCCAACTCCCAACCCTTGATGGGGTGTTTCTGAAACCAGAACCTACTGTCAGGAGTCTGGGGGTGATCTTGGACTCTGTTTTAATCTATGGA